AACAGGTAAGCAAAATTCTAATGTCAGCATGCGTGAAAGGGCTTGCACCTATCATAAGTTAGGCACGATTTGCTATGAAATTCACAATTTGTTTCTGAAACAGCCCAGAGACTGGAAAAAAAAGTGGGCAGTAACTTTTGCAACCTTTTCTCTTTGCCAGAAGTGGCCATCACCTAACGTGATGTTGTTAGCGTGAAGTGTAATACTTTTCCGTTTTCCTCTCATCTCTTCTTTGATAAAGAGCATTTTGAAGTTATTCAAAAGTTCCTTGATTTTCAGTGATGTGTTCTTCCATGACGATAAATGTAGTGTGGTTGAATTTGACCATGAAGGATGCTCGACGCAGCTCTCTGAATCCTCCGAAGGTGTGTATCGATGGATGCGTGTGGGGCCGTATCATTGTAGCATTGGTAGTATTTGAAGTATCGCTGAACTCGTTGATGGATGGCTTGAGTTTTGATTATTCTTTGAATTGTAGTTATGGATTGGTTATGTGAGTGATGTCTAATTACCTCTTTCTATGATCTCAGGGGAGGTCATTCAAAGTGTTTTGTGCTGAGCTTTCAGATTGTCTATTGGTTTTTATTTGACATTATCTCTATTGATGCTCGAAGAAGTATGAAATTTTCAGTCTGTTGACCAAATTGTTACTAGCATTGGATTATGTGGTGCTCTACATTCTTTATATTCACTTGATTTCCTTTTTAAACAAATTATTTCGTTTCTTGTATCTGGAAAACATGAGTAACTCGCTCTTACTTTTTGTTGATTATTTTGTAGAATTATTGATGATTATTTAATGTCGTCGTCATTCCTCACAAGAGGTCTTGAATGAGGCGTTGTTGCATTGGAATCACTCAGTGAATGTAAATTTATTGTTTGGATCTCACTGTCTCGTAATAAATGCCATAATAAAAGTAAAAAATAAGCAGTTTTTTTTTCTGTGGTCCAATGTGGTTGGTTGATGGGACCTAGTAAGTTTTACCACTAAAGGAACTAGTGCTTAGTTTTCCCGTCTTGCATGGTTGGGTTTACTCACCATCGGACGGCTAGATACTGTCAGCGATTTTAAAATCCCTTTGAATATACTTGAAGTTAATCAAGGGCGTTTTCGTCCTCAAGGGAGGTAAGGCGCTTATTAATATGGTAGTCGGAAACTAGAATTCATGAACAGAGAAAATTTGCTGCAGTATCTTAGGGACATTTTCATTAGAAATTTCTGGGTGTCAGGTGCTATGACATAGTGTGGGATTAGTTTTGGTGTGGGGTCGCGAGGAAGGAAAAGGTGTGGGTGGCACTATTCAACTATTACGAACCCATCTCGCATTTTCGACGCTGGCATTTTTGACCTCTCACTGACCAGCTCGCGCTCGCGATCAGGACTAAGCCTTTGAGGAGGGAGTGCTCCGAAGTGAATAACACTTATCCTGTGATCTTATACGCTTTAACATTTGCCACATGTTGACTGGTTCACCCACCCCGGAGTCCTCCCTCCTTCTAGGCTTAGGTATTATGTACAAGTGAGAGGGCCCAGGAAAACGGAAAATGTGCGTTGAACGGTGGAAATGCTAAAAACGAATGACATATCCGTAATCAGGACCCCAAATAACCCCTGTATACAAGTTTACAGCGAATTTGGTGAAAATAGCCCTGGCGCCAAATGGCGCCAACGCCAAAAATGAATGTCATTTTCGTAATCAGGGCATCGAATAACCCCTATGGGCGAAGTTTCGAAAATCAAAATTTTGAGATTTTGGGGTTGTAATAGTTGAATAGTGCCAAAGTGGCGCCAATTGGCGCCAAATGGCGCCAGCATCAAAAATGAATGTCATTTCGTAATCAGGGCATCGAATTACCCCAATAGACAAAGTTTCGACGAAAAATAAAATTTCGAGATTTTGGGGTCGTAATACACTCCGTTGCAAAACTATACGACATACCCCAAATTTTGGGTTTCTGGAAGTTGCGAGAAATAGAGCACAAAAATGGCTAATGCCATTCGATTCGGCGTGTAAAGAAACCTACAAAAGAATCTCAAGCAGTTTCATCAACTTCCAGAAATCTAGGGTCAAAAATTGAAAAAATGGCCGTTGCAAAACTATACGACATAGCAGAAATTTCGACAATTTTTTTACTTCACTAAAATTTTTCCTAACACTCAACAGTCATAACAGTGCAGTGTTGTAGATAATGTAGTCCACGGATTCGCCGTGTGACGCTCTCACCTTGAGGAGCCGATCTAACATGTTTTCTAGGATTCATCCAGGATCCGTGCGTAATCTTTGAATAGCCCTTTTTGCAGGCGATGCACGGAATTGTACCGACTGCTCTAGGAATAAGACTACGATCAAGCATGCCCTATAGGTTTTCCACCGGATTCAGAGCTGGCTAAGAAGTGGACCATCTGAGTTAATCTACATGGTAATCTTCAAAGCAAGTGGAAGTCGACTCAATAACATGGATAGCAGCGTTGAACTGCTGAAAAATATGCAGATGACGACGGTTTTGCATCATAGACCGTAGACGGTGATGTTAAAGCACATCATGGTATTCGGTGAATCTTTCAGCTTGCCGTACAGATTGCACTTCTTGGCTTATGACCTAAAGGAGAAGAACTTATTTGGTATTTCATATTACAGGTAGTTCTCTTTTTGGCGGAAGATTCCTCTTATATCCATTCTGATGAGTGGCACTAGTACAGAAGTGATTTGAGCAGAAATCCATCTTCTTCCCGAAGAGGAGCTTGGTAATGATAGTGCACAGCCTATACTGGTGTGGCAGGCTAGACGGTGTCTTCACGATTCAAGGAATGAACTACACAACTAGGCGGAATTGCTTCATTAATCGCCAAGCTACCGCGTGCGACGCAGAATCGTCATCATTCGGGATATTTTCCAGTAACACGAACGCTGTTATGGAAAATATTATTAAATTATTATAATATGTTATAATTAAAATTATTATCTAAAAAAAATAAAAAATAACCCGAAGTTATTACGGACTTCGACTTGCTTTGAAGCCTACCATGTAGATTTACTCGAATGATCCACTTCTTAGTCAGGTCTAAATCCGGTGGAAAACCTTTAGGGCATCCCTGATCGTAGTCCTTATTCCTAGAGAAGTCGATACAATTCCGTGCATCGCCTGCAAAAAGCGCTATTCAAAGGTTACGCACGGATCCTGGTGGATGCCTTACAAACATTGGCAGAAACATATCAAATCGGCTCTTGAAGGAATTTCGCAATGAGATCGTCGGACAGCTAAGTGACATCGAAAGGGTGGATGGTGGTCCAGTGGATAGCATGATGGCCTCTGATTGGCGTGGTTTGTTCGCCGTTGTTGGTTCAGTTCCCCGACATGATCGGAATTTTTGCATTTTTTCGATTATCACTTTTTTACGTTCGCATGTGCTTGCGCGTGAACTTAGCGCCTATAAGGTGTCATTTTCCAAGAACTTTCTCCCACAATTCTGCGATAGTCTCTTTACCATGTGTTTTCAGTTGTGTACGAAAATTCCGTTTACAAGCAATAAATAACTAGCAGTTATGGTAAAACTCAATGAAGCATCTGAATCACAGGCGCGGATCACACCAACTGCATCTAACGAACGCCAGAAAAGTGAAGTTGTCATTTTCTTCGCAAGGAACACCTACTCCGTTTCCGGCGTAGAGAATGTCCAGTGTCGCTCGACGTAGCCAGTGCCCACCAGGCATACGCCATGCATCGACGAATAAGAAGTGGTGATGCCAGATTGCCCCACGGGCAGGAACTGCGGTGGAAGTGTAACTATCAGCCAAACGTACCGCTTGCTATCATCTCGAAGCTGTCTCCAAGTGGGAAGCGTGCATGCCGTACTGACTATGGGCTTACCCATGGCCCAATTTTTGAATTCGGGCCGAAATCTTGATCTTCTCTAAAACTGCGGCTATAAGGGTAATTATAGGCGCTGATTACGAATCTGACGTCCATTTTTGATGGAGGCGCGATATTGCGCCATTTTAGCCTCCTCGGGCACCAACTCGGCGCCGCTTTAGCGCCATACAATTTTCGCCCCAATTCTGGGCAGAAAGCTAATCAGAAAGGTTGATGATGACCCTGATTGTAAGAACAGTACCTATTTTTATCGGCGGTAACATTTGGAGTCATTTAACATGCGCTAACATGAAATGCAAAATTTTGTCATCAGCCGGGACCGATCCCTCGACCAATTTTTCATTCCTCGGCGCTCCTTGTTCTGAAAGGCTTTCCTGGTGAGTGGACACGCACCTGGAGGCGGGATATTGACGGTACACAGTAGCTCTTGAGAAATGATGCCAATGGTTTATATTATTCCTTTTCAGAGCTCCTAAGAAGACCGGTTTCTACCAGAAGGGAGACGAAACCGGCGGTACGAGCGAGACTAAGGTGAAGAATATGTGTAAGCTGAAGGAGTCCACTTGTGGAGGTCTACTCTAAGAATTTCCTCGCGATCCTTTCTATAGCGTCCTACTTGTTCTTTGCTTGATCCCTCGCTGTCTTCCCCATAACCAAATTACTGCAATCATTATAGAGGTATGGTTTTTAATGATGGAAAATAAGTAACTATATAATCTAATATCAACACTACATATTCAAAGGTTTTTATGTGTCTTCATGTGTCGATGAAGATTACCGGATTGGGTGAAGCGCATGAAGCAGATGTCGCATCCGTACGGTTTTTGACCTGAAAAGTTCGAATTGGATGTTTTTTAGTAACTGGCTACTATCTTGACAGTGTAGGTCTCAATTCAGTATCAAACGGAGTTTCGATCAGGATATGCGAAGTCTACATACTCTACGGTCACTCAATTCATAGACCTATATCATGTCTGTTAGGTCAGAAACACTGTACTTCGCATGGGAGGACTAAAGTCACTGCATGAGAGAAACTTTCAAAACTAACTACGATTTTGAATGAAAGTGGAATGTCCCCACACCCCAAGGAGGAACAACCAACGCCGAGCCTTTCTGGGCACT